CCCCCCCGCTCGTCTAGCTTATAGCTTCCAAGCACCCTGGAGTTTTCTCCTAAAAGCCTTAACTCTGGACCGATGCTGCTCTCAGGCATGTACTCGCCCTGCATTCCTAGGCGAACTTGCTCTCTGCAGCACGTAGAGCAGCGCCCCTGCAGTAGCGCCCTGTGACTGCGAGAAACTGTCGCTGCTGCGATCCTGAGCCGGGAAGATCGGGCCTGTGGTACATAGAAATAAGTATTTCTCAAAGGCGTCAGCCCGGTCTCTCCACTCCTCCCCCTCCCGCTTTTTGTTTGTTTGAGCTTTTTTTTGCCGTCAAGTCACAACCGACTTATGGCACGCTCTTGAGTCACCCAAAGCTTACAAAAACCTGGGGGGGTGTGGATGTCCAGTGGGGGGAGCCATGTTGGAGGAGGGAGGGCAGCTCTCGTGCCCTCAGAAGCCAGGGGGTGGAGGGATGCAGCTGTACAATCCTGCCTGCAGAAAGCCAAGAAGCGAAAGCGAATCCCCGCTGGCACCCAAGGAGGGGGCGCAGTCGAGCGGAGCGGGGGGGAGGGCAGCAGGGTGGCAGGCCATTTCGGCACCCACCTCCAGGGGCCACAGCCTGGCCGCCCTTGGCAAAAGTCTAGTTTGCCTAGTGGGTGGGCTGGCTTTGGCTGTTAATGCTATTTACAAGGATTTCAGTAAAGCTTTTGACAGGGTTCCCCATGATGTTCTGATGGGTAAATTAGAGGAATGTGGACTGGACTCTAGGATAGTTAGGTGAATAGGGAACTGGTTAGAGAACTGCAGTGAAAGAGGAGTTGTCAATGGCATTTCATCTGAATGGAGGGAGGTGTCCAGTGGGGTGCCACAGAGATTGGTTCTGGGCCCAGTACTTTTCAATATTTTTAGAGATGATCTGGATGTGGGTGTGAGGGGCTACTCGTTAAATTTGCAGGTGACACCATATTAGGAGGATCAGTAAACACACCAGAAGATAGAATTAGAATTCAACGAGATCTGAACACACACTGGAAAAGTGGGTGGATGTGAACAAGATGCAATTTAACAAGGATAAGTGCTGAGTTCTAAATCTGGGTAACAAAAATGAGGAACACACATACTGATGGGGGATACACTTCTGGGTAGCAGTGTGTGTACAAGATCTTGTGGTATGGGTGGATTGTAAGTTAAATAAGAGCAGCCAGTGTGATGCAGTGACAAAAAAGGCTAATGCGATCCTGGGCAATGCTCCCTCTAAGCTGTGGAGTCTTGTGAGCAAACATTCTACTTTGTGAGCTACTGGGATTAGAGTTGTGAGTGAGCAATTTGGCTGCTGCATAAATTAGTTTGCTCTGGAGCCATCCTTCCTGAGCTAAGTCAAAAATGTGTGAGCCAGAGGCTAAAAAACTGTGAGCTAGCTCACAATAACTCATCTTAGAGGGAAAACTAATCCTGGGGTGTATCAACAGAGGCATAACATCAAAATCACAAGGTGTCATAGTCCCACTATACACTGCATGGGTCAGGTCGCACCTGGAGTATTGTGTGCAGTTTTGGAGGCCTCACTTAAAAAAGGATGTGGTCAGAATGGAACAGGTACAGAAGAGAGTGACAAGGATGATCAGGGGCCTGGAGACCAAGCACTACAAGGAAAGGCTGAGGGACTTGGGAATGTTGAGTGTGGAGAAGAGGAGGTTGAGGGAGGACATGATTGCTCTCTTTAAGTATTTGAAGAGCTGTCACTTAGAGGAGGTCAGGGAGCTGTCCCTGTTGGCAGCAGAAGATAGAACTCACAAATAATGGGTTTAAATTGAGGGTGGGAAGGTACCGGCTGGATTTAGGAAAAACTTTTTTACAGTAAGAGTTGTGCAACAGTGGAATCAGCTACCTAGGGAGGTGGTGAGCTTTTGTAATACTTACATAGGATCAAGGTGAGCGCTTGGTTCATCAAGAAGGAGAATTTTAGCTTTACTGAGGATTGATCTGGCAAGACACATCAACTGTTTATGCCCATGGCTGAGTACACAGCCACCATCCAGAAGGACAAAATCAAGCCTCCCTGGAAATTGTTCTATTACAGATTTCAGTCCAACCTATAGATGAAAGTGAGATGCAACAGAAAAAAATAAATGTTATGTGCCATGCAGGTTTGAGATAGACCAGAAGGGTACATTTTGGAATCAAAGCAAATCAAAAACTGTGGAATTAGTGCTGTATACTAAACAGCATAATGGATCTTTTTCTTCTTGACTAATGGCTTCCTCAGCACACAACAAGTTGTTTGTTTGTTTTTAATTGACCAGCGTTTCAGAACCAGCATATGAGAAAAAGCAGAATCCTACTGTGAGGGAGGGGTTGAAATATTTCAAACTCACGGTAGCTGCTTGGCACCTAGCCTTGGACCTTTCCCCTATGCTGGAATTACTCCTGATTTTCTTGGGAGTTGATCCACAAGCACAGGAATCGGTTTGGGATTCTTCTGCGCATCTACTCTCCCTGTGCATTTTTACAGTTGTGGAATCAATTTATTTTCTTGTGCACGTAGCTTAAATAATGAGGATTTTCAAGGGAGGGTGCTGTTGTCTTTGGTGTCCTTATTGCTGTCCATCACAGCACCCCCTTATTTTTTTAAAGGCCTAGTATATCTATATAATGCTGTAGTGTTGTCATAGTAATTTAAGCAGGTTCTCTGAATTCCCCCTTTATTTTTTTAAAAGTCTCTATAGTCTTCCTCACAGTTTGGTATAGTGGCTAAGAGCTGGACTCTAATCTGGGAGAACCAGGTTTGATTCCCCACCCCTCCACATGCAGCTGCTGGTGTGACCTTGGGTCAGTCATAAATTCTTTTAGAGCTGTTCCCTCAAGGGCAGTTCTCAAGACAGCGTTCTCTCAGCCCCCCCCCCCCCACCCACCAGGGTGTCTGTTTGGTGGAGGGGAAGAGAAAGGGGTTGTAAGCTGCTCTGAGACTCCTTCAGGTAGTGAAGGGTGGGGTATAAAATATAGCCTGCGAAGGTGTGAACCATTTATACAGAATTAGACAAAACAGGACCTGCAGAATCATAGTTTGTACAGCAGCATGCTTTATTTTGATTCTATTTTACTTGCAAATGCACTGTGAGATGGTTCACCATTATTCCCCATGTTGCAAATGGGGAAACGAGGGCACAGTGGATCTATGGAATTTTCAGGTGTGGCATGTTGGCCTTTGCCTGTGCTGGCAATGAAAACTGATTGACAGAATATTACACTGTGTTCAGTACTGCCAAGGGCACATTGCTGTGGAGCTTCCTACTTTGTTTTTCTCTGAGAAGAAGCTGTTTATGCCATTTCAGGAACTGCTTTTGAAATGTCCATGAATGTTAAAAGTGGTTCACTGTGCAGTATTGGGTGGGGCACTGCTCTCTAAGAAAAGCCACAGAATTGCCTGTTCCGGTGTTTCTGTGTGTTTTTAAAGATCTGGTTGAATATTTTCAATATCAAATGGATGTTTAGGTTACCATCACCAAAATACACATGCCAAATTATAACCACAAAGAACAGAACACAACACTGTGATGCCATGACTGGAAATCCTCAAGAAGTGTCCACCCCTCCTTCCTGTGACAGAATCGTAAGACCTAATACAGTTGAGTTCAGAATATGCAATATAATGCTTTCTTTTTGCTCAACGTTGTATCCATTACAATGAATAAGTTTGCAGATACTCCATGTGGAACAGCAAAAGTGGGGAAATAACTCCCCTCCATGCAGTTTTGACATGGGAAAACAATGGGGGGCGGGCTCTCCTTTATTTTTTAAAACACCATTCCCTGCAGCTGCCCTGTGGCTGCAAGGAACATGGACCCGACTCTTAACAAAACAAAAGACATAGTTTGACCCTTATTTGCACCAGATTCTTTTCCCTGCAGGTGTCATTTTGCAATGAACTTCTCTTGAACTTTTGATCCTAAAGTCTATCTAACCACTTGACTTTGGCACTTCTGGATAACTGCTTTTTAATATCTAAGTTTTGATCCTGATAGGTCTTGTAGGACTAAGTAGTCAGTAATTTATTGTTACCCTTGGCTCGTTATATGATAGCAGCAGGAAGCAAATGGGCTACAAAGCACTACAGTTAAGCAAAATATGTATTACAATAATTTGCTTATGCTTTGTGTTATGCCTTTTGGATCCATTCTGCTCAGCTACCAGTGCTTTTATCTAGTACTAGCAGTAAAGCCCGTTGTGGAAATAAATACAACGGGATCTAGAAAGAGGCTCTGGGGGAGTGCTCTGGCTTTGGGCAAACAGTGTCATTTTGCTGTGGTGACCTCAGCAGGGTATAATGGCAGAGTCCACTGTTTTCTCCAGAGGAACTGATCTCTGCTCCCTGAAGAGCAGTTGTAATTTTGAGTGATCTGTAGCCCTCACCTGGAAATTGGCAACAATTGTTACCCAGGACGAAATGGCTGGTTTGGAGGGTGGAGTCTACGGCATTCTACCTGTCTGATGTCCCACCCCTCCGCAAACCCCACCCTCTCCAGGCTCCACCCCTCAAATCCCCAGGAATATGCCAGCCTGGAGTTGGCAACCCCATCTCCTTCGCAGCTAACCATCAACCTACCATTATCTGCCCCTTTGACTTCAGCTGACTTCCGCCCTCCCTTCTGCAGAGCAATTGTAATTTTGAGTGGTCTCCAGCCCTCACCTGGAGATTGGCAACAATGGTTCCCCATGAGGGACTGAGTGGTTTGGAGGGTGGAGTCTATGGCATTGTACCTGTCTGAGGTCCCACCCCTCCTCAAACCTCACCCTCTTCAGGCTCCATCCCTCAAATCTCCAGGAATTTCCCATCGGGAGTTGGCAACCCTATCAGGATTGGCCCCAATATGTTTTCTCCCAAAGGGCAAAGTAGGTGACTGGACCAAACTTAGTTGCCTACCAACAGGCACTGAGGGGAAAGTAGGGTTGCCAGCTATAAGGAGGGAAATACCTGGAGTTTTGGGGGGTGGATTCTGTAGAGGGCAGCATGGGGGGGGCGGGGGCGGAAGGACTCAGCAGGTATAATGTCATAGGGTCTACCCTCCAAAGCAGCCATTTTCTCCAGGGGAAACTGATCTCTGTCATCTGGAGATCAATTGTAGCAGTGGGAGATCTCCAGGTCCCACCTGGAGATTGGCAACCCTAGGGGAAAGTCAGCTGCACAGCAGGGGGTTGAAGAGAATGGTTTGATGGGTGCTGGGCCAAGATTGGCAACAATAGTTCCCCAGGAGCAAATAGCTGGGTTGGAGGGTGGAGTCTATGGCACTGTAACCTGTCTGAGGTCCCCATCTCCCCAGGCAGCTTTTAAAACATGATCCTGGGACCTACACACCACCAGACATTCCAACTGCCTTGCGGGGGGGGGAGTATGAGGTGTGGAATGGAGTGAAGTCCAATCAGCTTCCATATGCAAAAGACCTGGAAACCCTGGGCGGGACTGCACAAAGCAGCCAGTCAACCCAGCCAGCGTCTTCTGACTGACAGTTCAAGCGTCCATACACTAAAGGAATGAGGTATGTTAAGGTTGAAAGTGTGTGAGTGGTCCATAATTCCCCAGGCAGCTCTTAAAACATGTTCCTGGGACCTACACACCACCAGACATTCCAACTGCCTTGCGGGGGGGGGAGTATGAGGTGTGGAATGGAGTGAAGTCCAGTCAGCTTCCATATGCAAAAGACCTTGAAGGTTCCATATGCAACTGACATTCCAACTGCCTTGCGGGGAGGGGGGGGAGTTTGAGGTGTGGAATGCAGTGAAGTCTAATCAGCTTCCATATGCAAAAGACCTTGAAACGCTGGGCGGGACTGCACAAAGCAGCCAGTCAACCCAGCCAGCGTCTTCTGAGTGGCAGTTCTTCCGGCCTAACACTAAAGGCGGGCAGTTCATATAGAATGTTCTTACTCAATTATATATAAGGAGAGATAAGAAGCCTTCCTTTGATGCAGGAGAAGCTTTTCCACCGCCACCAAAGGAAAGTTCCTGGAACATGAGCAAAGTACTGCCATTAGAGGAATGGATGTGGAAAATCCAACCCCTTATCATACATGAGTAATGAATTTATTGTACCAGTTTCTAATGTGCAACACAACATGATTATCCAGAAATAAAATTGATCTTACTGTAAACTTAAATAACAAAGATAGTCATCTCTACCTCCTCAGCAACTTTCCACAATTCTTCATCATTCCATTGGCCATAAGGATCCAAGTTTTTCCGAAACGATCCAGAAAATATGAATACTTTCTGTGGAGGAAAGTTCTTTTTTGTTAACAGCATGCCGTAAACCAGATAGAAAGCTAACACTGCAATACTCATCTCTAAACAATCTTGATATATTCTGTTCAATGTGCTCTACAGTATACTTAGTAATTTCCAGGTGACAGGACATACCAGAGGAAGTTCTGCAACCCCCCCAGCAACATTATGGCGTTCCAGAAGTCTCATCCACATTGTGTGATGCAGTTGCATTTTCTGTTCCTAATAGTGCACATGCTTACAGTTTTTAAATGCGGTCACAGTTTCTGCTGAAGACCTGAGGCTATGCTAGCTGACATAGGTCTACTCTTTAGCAGAAAGTCTGCTTGTTCAAATTGCATCACACAATGGTCCCAGTAGGGCCGAGGCTTCTTGGCTATAATTCTGCATTCTTGAGTCTCCTTTGGGCCCATCTTTTTCACCATCCCTCCGACTGCCGAGTGCTTCCCAATCATCAGTGGCTACTCACAACTGGCCAAGAGAAGCAAGACAATCTTTCAACCCCTGCATGACAGCAAGTACATGACTAGTTGATGGAAGTAGTAACAATAATGCATTTATGCGGAAATCCTGCACAATTAGAGCTATGGTATGCATTCTTTCTTTTGTTCTGTCCGTATTCTGTAATATGGGAGTGGAGGAAGCAGATTTAGATTTCTTAACTCCGAGGAAGATATTTGCCTTCCAACCTGCACTGAAGCCAGTAAGACTGCTGCTTTTGGTTCTAAAGGGTGTAGAAAACCTTGCTTTCTTCACCTCTTCACCTGCTGAACATACACATGAGACTGTAGCTTTGGAAAAAGGGATCATACAGTCAAAACTCAATATTTACTTAATGTCTTTGAGCACTGGAAGAGTGTGAGAGACTGTGTATCCCCTTTGACAGGAGCAATTTATTCTGCCTCAAGTGACAGTAACTCTTTCATAACTATTCTAAGAAGATGAAACAAATGCAACATTTGCTGCCCATGTTAAGATTTTTTCCCCCATTCAAATCATGTAAGTTGCTTGATGGCTCTCCTTGCATTGTTCACATGGAACAAACACTAGCTATAAGGGAAAGAAGATGAAAGCCAATTATTTGACCTCTTCCATATCAGTTTTACTTTTCTAATGGAAAACATGTCATTTAATTTTAGATCGTGCCTGGCTGCTATTTCCACGCAATTAGCAGAGGAACTAAGATGGGGGGGGGGGAATGGAGCTGGAGAGAACTATTGTTTCCAACTCATCCTGACAGAGATGATACTGGATTGACTACTATACTGACAACTATGCCTGGAGGGAAAAATGACAGACCTGACGAAGGGCAACTTTACATCTGTACTTGCCATGCCAAAGTCTGCAATTTCTGGTATGTGGGATGCTCCCAATCAAGCATCATAAATATATCTCTGTGAAGCATTTGCTTTCGATAGTACACTTATACCTCTGACCTTATGCAAGTTTACTACAAAATAAATTCCTCTGAACTCAGTGGGATGGATGCCCAAGAAGAGCGGATGCAACCTTATATTAATCCTCCATTCCAAAACAGCTGTCAACGATGTGACTTAAATTAAACCCACAAACTACAGAAGACATTGGAAAAGATGTATTCAGCAGTAAAAGTGCCCTGCACATTTTTGTTAGGAGGCTATGTCTGGTGAATTATTTGTATATTTGTCTCTAACAAGAAAAAATAACTTTCCTGAGGCAGGCCAGGTACATTGTGATGGTTTCTCTTCACATGTTTATTGATGGTTTCTCATGGTCAGGGGTACTAGCAAAGCTCTTTGCCTCAAGATCAGTTTCTGCAGACTACTGGGTGTGGTAGCACTAATACAAACTAGGTTTGGCATAGCAGTGTTTACACTTGGGTTGCTGTATATTAAGATAATGAATTACATATTTTGGAGTCCTGTGATGGCAAAGAAAACTTAACTGAACAAACCAGTTTTTAGAAAAGAAATGAGCACCTGAACAACACTTGCATATTACCTACAATATCTCTCACCAAGTTTTCTGTTCTGACTCAGCTAGGTTTCCCGCTAATGTTGTTCTTTTGTAAAGCTATGCCTTTAAAATGCTAATCCCCTGTTCTGTGTCCAGAAAATAATTTCCTAATTTCAGCTACTTAATCTGGTTGTGTGTTTCACAGGCGTCACATCTGTGAATTAAAATTACCTGAATACACAGACATGCAAATGCTGAAAAAGTAATATCTTGAAACTAAGTGAGAGCTTGTGAAATGCTGAAACTTCCCTTACTTTTACAAGACAAGTGCTTAAGAAAACAAGGTCAATGTGAAACAGGATACAGGAAGTATCTGAGAGTCCACCCACCCATTGTGAGCTTTTCCCTTCATCAAAGCAGAATCTTTAAGATGATTTCCAAGAAGGGATTACATGGAAGTAGAATCTGAAGATTCTATTCTAGAATTTATTTAATATTGTTGCTTTGCTGATAACAGGTTAGTTTACATATGGGACTTGTTCTATGACGTGTGTGCATGCACACACAGAAATAGGAAGTCTGCATGTGCTGAAACATTTACCTGTAGGTAGGAAACTTATATAAATGGCTCAGAGCTTTTAAAGGGCCTCATCTCTTTATGCAAAAACCTGGCAATGTGAGGTATAAAATAGTGTTTTCACTCACACATTTTCTACAGTCTGTTGAATGCAACAGACAGCAAGCAATGCTGTCATTTAGCTATAAAATATTTGCACCAGTAAGGTGGAACACCCCGTGGTTCTCCCTGTGGTCTCTTGGGGTCCTGATCCCAACATGGGCCAAGCAATCCAAGGATACTCTAAATGGGTATCAATGATATATTGGACTCTGAGGAACGTTTGAAACCATTAGAAGATTTACCATGGTGGCAAAGAGCGCAAATAGAATCTAGATTTACCAAAGATAAGAAAATTGGATTTTATAAAAACTTGTTAGAGATTGAAAAGATTATTATATCCACGGACCTAAAGCTTATACGAAGACTTTATGTACTTTTACTTGATGATTTGCTGTTGAATGAGATAGTGAAAGGGAATATGATTCAATGGGCCCAGAATATAGGGCATAATATTAACTTGGAGCAGTGGGACCAAATATGGAAGAAAAACATTAAGATTACTAAAGCTATTTCTTATAAAGAAAATGTTTATAAAATGTTTTATAGATGGTATGTAACACCTGAAAGGTTAGCTAAAATTGACTTAAAATGCTCCAATAAGTGTTAGAAATGTGAAAATAAGGTTGGCACATTTTACCATATGTGGTGGCATTGTGAAAAAACTAAGAAATATTGGGTAATGATGCATGAAGTTTTGCAAAAGGTGTTGGGCACGGGTGTGATATTTAAACCAGAGGTCTTATTGTTGAACATTTTACCTGAAAATCCCAACAAAGATGATCGTTATCTGATTGTATATTTAACTATGGCGGCCAGAATTCTTTATGCTAAATATTGGAAATCAACGGAGATTCCAGTGAGAATTTATAAACAAAGTTTTGGAGGCAGCGGAATTTGATAAATTGATTTTTTCGATAAAAGGTTTAACAGACTCTACATTCCAGAATACTTGGACACGGTTTTATAATTGGTATGATAATCACATGTAGGCAAGTTTATAATGGTCAGGCTATTCGTTTTATTAGAAAGTATATACTTGATTGAGATAGAGTGGATGGTTACTCATCATAATATACAAGAATAGAGATTAAGGTGGATTAGGCATAAGCATAATGTTGTTAAAAAGAATGATAACCCCCATATATGTGTGTATGTATGTTTATATGTTTATTATATGTTTATTTTGTGTTTGTGTAAAACGTGAAAAATTGCAATAAAATTCTGCCTTTCGGGGCAGTTTAAAAAAGAGAGAGAGTTTATGATAAAAGCCACATTACAGGATTGAGTCTTTCTGGGAAGCAACCGATACACTGCTCTCTTGCTCAACATTTGCAAGGTTATTGATCTCCCTGTGAGTTCTGCTCATGAATGTAGGGCAGCAGATGGCCTTTTACATTGCAATGCTAAATTTTTGCTACTGGTATTTTGCTCCCTGCTGGACTTCCTACTTTGCAATGAATCCAACATAGCATTCATAAGTACTTTATAACTGGAATTCAAAGCTGCTTTGCAGAACTACTTTTGACCTCTGGTATAGTGGGTTTACTGGGTTCAGTGGATTTATTACACTTCAGTAATCCAGCTGAAAAGTAGACTAGCTGGAAAATAAAACATATACCCCTGAAAAATATGCACCAGAATCTTGAAAAAATATCTCTAAAGTCTACAAATCCACTTCTGTTTATCCTTTAATAGTGAAAATGTGGGAAGCATGGTTAGGACATGTTCTCTCAAATGTGAGAAGACTCCAAGGAAACTAAACCTCTGAAAAGACTAAAATTTACTAAATATATGCAAATCATGTGTAACTCTGTCAGTAAAAAGGTAATATCTTAGATCATTAGCTGGGTTTGGTAGAGTGTGTATATACTATACTATACCAGACCCAGAGTAAATGTTGAGATTTCTTAAGAGGTGGTGAGACTCCATGGCACCCATAAAAGTCTAGAGGGCTGACTGTGATATGAGCTTTGATACTAGAGATAAATTAGTATGTAAGGTGCCACATCATCCTTATTGTCTACTGTTGTTATCTAGTATGGTCAGTTTGCTGGAATTTTTCAAGGGAAAAGAGCAAAGCATTATTAATGCATGGAAACTGTATGTAGGTCTCAGCCTGCACTCTAGCATGTTTTGCTGCATTGGTCTTTGAATTATACCCACAGTGGGCAACTTGAAATACTACTTTTTGCTTAATAATGGCCCTGTTCATACGAGCCCATTTGGGCCGGGAGCGGGACGGAACTGGGGCGGAGCAAACAGGCGCGATCTCACCTCAACATCTGGGGAGCGTGCCGTCTCCGTCCCTGATCCGTCCCAACAGCCCATACTGTGCCGTAAAAAAGAACCACCTCTCTAGGTGGTTGCATCCATTGGTGCAGCTCAGGCCGGGCTGTGGGATCGGCGGCGCGTCCTTGTGCCGCCGCATCCCGGCCCCCGGGCGTACTGCGCATGCCCGAGCATGCGCAGTTCGGCGGCCTCCCCCCTCCCCTCGGACTTTTCCTCCCCGGCATCTGATCGTGCCGGGGAGTGATGCGCCGTGGCTAGGGGATCCGTGGGATCCCGCCGCGGCATCTCAAGTTTGGAGCGGCTCTGAGTAGCCGCGTTTCAGCCGTCCCGTGTGCCAGGGGCCAATGAATCCCAATACAGCCAGTTGTGTTATATTTGCGTTCCTGAACATTGCTGCAAATTTAGAAAAGCATGCGATGGCAATGTAAATGTCCCATAAAAAATAATGGAATGAGAGTAGGGAACATTTCATACCCCAACTCTGCCCAGATAAACTGCTACATCAATGCAGTCCACGTTCACTGTATCAATGTGTTATTGATTTATTTCAATCACACTGCAAGAGAATAACAAAAGTCTTAAATCAAATTACCTGCAGTGCAATACATTAGCATCAACAGAGGAGAAAGAGTATTTAATGTGGCACTCATGAGGAGCCAAGGGAGGATTGCTTGCTGTGACTGGCAGAGAAGAGACTGGGGTTGAAATAGCAGATGGAAGGAAGTAGAGAGCTGAGGCCCCTCAAACACTCTCATCACTTGTGCTGTGCTTTATCATAATTGCTAAGCTGCACATCTGCTGGGCTCAGCACAGCAAGTGACGCTTCTAGGACTGAATACTAATTGTCTACAAAATCAGGCAAAAACATATGGTTGGACCCTGCGGCTCCCTCCTGCTAAGTGGATTCTGTCTCTAGATAAAGGAGTCTTTGCTTTAGCAGAAAGGGAATATCCGTCCCTTAGAATGTTTTTAAAATACCCCAAACTTTTCTATGCCCAACGTGATGTGGGACTAGGGTTGCTAGGTCTGGGTTGGAAAATACCTGGAGACTTTGGGGGTGGATCCAGGAGTGGGTGGGGTTTGGGGAGGGGAGGGGCCTCAGCATGGTACAATGCCATAGAGTCCACCCTTCAAAGCAGCCATTTTCTCCAGGGGAGCTGATCTCTGTCAGCTGGAGATCAGTTGTAAAAGCGGGAGATCCCCAGGCCCCACCTGGAGGCTGGCAACCCTATGTGGGACACGGCCCAGTCTAGAGCTTATGCAGGCCATAGAAAACAGGTAGAAACTGAAGGTAGTCTCTCTGCGCTGACTCAAAATTTTGCAACTGCTGCACAGTTGCCACAAAACAACTACTGAAACTGTGGCAAGCCTAGGAAACTTAAAGTAACGGTTGGCACTTAAAGCGTTTTCAGATGCTGAAGAGAAAGGTGGACTTTTAAATAAATACTATAAATAATTTTTCCCCTCTCTCTGAAGCACACACAATATTGACAGCGGGGAAATGTAACATTGTTAACAGGGTCACGTGAACATTCCTTTAAGACAGTCAGGTTACGAAATTTTGTAATACAAATCTATCTTGCTTTAACTTAAATATATTTGATATTCAGACTGCAAGGCATTTTTAATAAGCCTGTAGACTGCATCTTTATATATCCTTTGGTAGACTGCATCTTTATATTTTAAACTAGCAGTAAAGCCCGTTGTGGAAATAAATACAACGAGATCTAGAAAGAGGCTCTGGGGGAGTGCTCTGGCTTTGGGCAAACAGTGTCATTTTGCTGTGGTGACCTCAGCAGGGTATAATGGCAGAGTCCACTGTTTTCTCCAGAGGAACTGATCTCTGCTCCCTGAAGAGCAGTTGTAATTTTGAGTGATCTGTAGCCCTCACCTGGAAATTGGCAACAATTGTTACCCAGGACGAAATGGCTGGTTTGGAGGGTGGAGTCTATGGCATTTTACCTGTCTGAGGTCCCACCCCTCCTCAAACCTCACCCTCTTCAGGCTCCATCCCTCAAATCTCCAGGAATTTCCCATCGGGAGTTGGCAACCCTATCAGGATTGGCCCCAATATGTTTTCTCCCAAAGGCCAAAGTAGGTGACAGGACCAAGCTTAGTTGCCTACCAACAGGCACTGAGGGGAAAGTAGGGTTGCCAGCTATAAGGAGGGAAATCCCTGGAGGTTTGGGGGGTGGATTCTGTAGAGGGCAGCATTGGGGGGGCGGAAGGACTCAGCAGGTATAATGTC